TGTCCATGAAGGTCTCTGCTGCCGTAGATCCTCTGAACTGTGACAGAGGTCTCACTCTGGAGGAAACTCTCAGCACTTTCCAGCAGCTCCTCCATCATGGAGGACGTTCCCTCACTGTAACAGGTGGAGGAGAGAGGAGAGGAAGCACAGGTGGATCCTCTGAGGAAGACATTATTCTGTAAAATGAGAGGAAACACAAAGATATGATTGCTTCGTCTCAGTCCAATCGATCTGTTTTCATGTGTACCTCAGTGTGATTGTTTATGTTTATCTTTGCATATTGTACAGAGTCGTGTGATCTGGCCCGGCATGACAAATGTAAATAATTTTATTATGAGGCAGGTGTAGTTATCTTATATTTATATTAATCTGTTCAGTGAACAGAATAAAAATGTCCTCTTTGATCTACTGTGGTTCTTCTTCTGTGGTGTTTCTGATGGAGCAGCTGCTCCTGATGTTTGAGGATGAGACCAGGATGAGACCAGAGTTCCTACAGCTTCAGGTCAGAGAGACTGAAGCTCTCCAAGTGCTTTCTAATTGGAGATAAAGTATTTGAATTTCAGGAACATTCCTCCAATCAAGCATCTTCCAGTTCCTTTCTATATATAATTCCCCAGTTCTACAAGCGGTTCATTCTCATTTTCATGCCCGTCCACCCTTCCTTTTCTCACTTCTTTAACTTTCTCCCTTACAATTAGTAATTGGGAATCTTCAGGGGCGAGGCCTTCCCCAATCCACAGCTCACTTCATGTTTAAGCCATTCGCCTTTATGTATTAAAATAATATCAAACCTAAAATGAGGACGTGGGCCCACTGAGTGAAAGTTTTTATCTGGCCAGCTTCAGTAAGAAATACAGATTAAAAACTAACAACCTGATTACCTCACATACATATTTTATGAGGTTATTTTACTCAGTAGTACCACTGCAGGACTTGGTTGTGCATTAGCAACAAAATTTGAGCCTGAGAGGGTTAAAGTGATATCTGATGTTTTCAATGTCACTGTGAGTAGGAGAGCTTAGAGCACAGTATCTTGTATGTTTTCCTGTGACTGACAGTACAGTCATGCAGTATATATACCAGCAGTACTAAGATTAGAAACAATTACCAGACATCTCCAGCAGGGGGAGCGTGGAGCTGTTAAACTACCACATAGTTTCCTCTCTTCAGTCGTTACATATGAGCTGAGGAACATTTGTGTCTGAGCAGCTTTCATAGACGGACCATGACAATCCCAAAGCAATGCAAATTAACCACATACTGCTTTTGATGTGAGGAGCTCTGATTGGTTGGACAGACACAGGCTGGCTGCCACTGCTGTTTGTGCTCATAGCTGTGCCCAGCTAAGAAGAGTGTGATCTTGTACAGAGGCCGTTCAGCCTCAAGATTTACACTCTGACCAGCACAGATATGTGAAGACTGAAGCTAAAGCTGTCCACCACAACTGATGGAAGACTGATGGATGTATTACGCCCCAGCAGTACAAGCTATCTACCCTTTTTAGTAAGCTAATGTGCTCTTCGCAAATAAAGCTTAAAACACCTCAGACTATTAGAACTAAGGCTGGGTTTGAAAAATTGATTTCAGTTTGAATAGAGTGATGTCGATTGTTTAAATCCTGAATCGAGTTTTAAATATAAACCTATTTTGCCAGAAACACCAGAATCTTAGGTTAAAGCTGATGAAACAATTTCAACAACCACCGAACAGCAAAAACAACAACAGGATTAAAGAGCAAGTAAACAGTGTCTCTAATCAAACCTGTATAACTTGCTTCACATCAACATCATCAGGTAATGTCCATGGTTTTCTTCTGTTTTAGTTCTGCAGAATATTTTTTAG